GCCATCTATTGCACCTCCGCACGAACTTTTGCACTCACCCAATATTATTCGAAACGCTACTTCCCCTCAAAAGGGTATAACACTTGAAATAAAATAACTTTTTTCGTAACTTTCGTGGTAACAATAATACCTCATAATATTACGTAGGAAAATTATATTAAGATTTGACGTGCCTTCCATTTCGAAGAATTAAAAAATTATTTGTGTTAAATTACGTTATATTGTATTATATAACAAATGTATTTACTTCGCGGAAGCTACCCTCGAGTTTCATGTTTTTCATAAAAAAGGAATCTACTATAATGTCATATTAATTAATTGCATTGACGATGTAGCAGATGAACTTATGCTAATTACAGGATGTTTGTGAGCGAATGCACTTAATTGCTCGAATGCAACGCTTCCGCTGGATCTGCCCAGCGCAGGGTACGGAATGCAATGAAGGATCAGTTGCAAGGGAAATTCTTGGAACTCGAGTTTCGTTTAAGCAGTGGTTTATTCGGCTGAGGAGGCAGAATGGCGATCTGGCCCTTATAGTGCGGGGCGTGATGGTGATTCTTCTTATTTTGTCAGCCACGCGCAACCACCGTTACAGGACGCAACACGACTCAACTTGACGATCACGACGTTAAATGACAAATTAATTGACAAATATGATTAAAATGGATAACCGGCAATCGCTCACAAAGCAGTCGCGAGGACGCGAATGATATCTCGCAACGAGATGACTCGAGAAATTTAACTTGATTTCTCGCACGGACGGCCGAACCCGTAGCGAGCCGATATATGCGAATTATGAGAACCGATGCTTAATTTGATCTGAAAAGTCTCTCTCTCTGAGTGTTCGCTCAACGTTCTTCTTTCGTGCTCTCAAGGCACCCAGTTTTATATTAATATAATTTTTTGCCAAGCGGAACGAATAGATTGACCTTCGATCGGACGAAGCTTTTCGATTATGTTCAAATATGGCAATGTTTTTTGATACTGATAATTATATGTTTTTATAACCAAACACGTGATTAGACACGCGTGTTTCATATTTACTTGTGTTGTTGTCGGTTCGCAATCCGCGTGTTATTGTTTAGAGATCGCAACTCGATTCCCGCATCATGCACGACTCACGTGTGATGAGCATGATAACATTAACTTTTACGTTAAGATTCAATTGGATTTTTAAACACAGCATATAAATAAACGTCGGACAATTGTGCAATCACAATTGTGTAATCACGTCTGTAATTTGTGCTTTACAGCTGGGTTCCGTCCTGACATTCTCCAATGTGCGACGGTCAGGGATGGAAAGGTATGTGTTTTCATATGTATATAAAATATTCCAAATGTTAAATGTTGTGTATTTTTACATGTTTAATAAGTACGTACAAGAGAGAATTGTAATACGAGAATGACACGTGATGCGAGTACATTTTCTTGTTATATTATTCATACAGCGAATATGGCAATGAAGGTCACTGTTTTGCTACATTGAGATATACGACGGAAGTCACAAATAAACTATATATATATATATATATATATTAGGTTGGGAAAAAAGAAATCCATTATTTTTACGTGAATTTCAAGACTTTATTTAACATGTTTCAGATTGTCCGATTTGGATCAAATATGCACTGTTTTGTTTTATAATTTGTTGCCATTTTAAAGGTAGCTTCATAATGCCTCTCTTATAGAAGTCTTGGTCCCTTTTGGCGAAAAACTCTTGTAATCAATTTTCACAATCTTCTCTTGATGCCAATTTCTTATCACTAAGGAAGTTTTGCAATGCAAGAAAAACATGGTAATCGCTTGGTGCCGGACTATATGGTGGATGCATCAAAACTTCCCAACCAAGCTCTCGGAGTTTCTGGAGAGTCACTATAGACATGTGTGTCCTGGCGTTGTCCTGNCAACACCTCTCCTGTTGGCCAATTCTGGCCGTTTCTGGTTAATCGCTAGCTTCAAACGGTCCAATTGTTGACAGTAGAGATCCGAATTTAGTGTTTGGCCATATGGAAGCAACTCATAATAAATGATTCCTTTCCAGTTCCACCAAATGCACAGCAGAACCTTCCTGGCCGTTACTTTTGGTTTGGCCACCGTTTGAGCTGTTTCACCGCGCTTTGTTCAAGATCGTTTTCGCACAATGTTGTCGTATGTGACCCATTTCTCATCCCCAGTCACAATCCGTTTAAGAAATGGGTCGATTTCATTCCGTTTGGTCAAAGCTTCGCAGATAGAAATTCGATCCATCATGTTTCTTTGTGTTAATTGGTGTGGCACCCAAACAACGAGCTTCTTTTTGAATCCAGCTTTGTGCAAATGGTTTAAAATTATTTTATGGTCGATCTTTAGCTCCTGGGCGATGCTACGACTGCTAACATGCCGGTCAACTTCGATTATTTCTGTAATTTTATCGACATTTTCGACGACGGGCCTACCTGTGCGAGGTACATCTTTCACATCAAAAATACTTGAACGGAATCGACGAAATCAAAATTGCACGTAATTGGCTGTTACAGTATCGGCACTTTAAACACCATTCACAATTACAGCCGCCTGGCTTGCATTTTAGCCTTTATCAAAGAAAAACTGTAAAATGTACTGAATTTTCTCTTTGTTGACTTCCATTTTTAACACCCAGCATAAACCTGAAATTGTTTGATCGATACTTTACGAGATATCGATCACTACAGCTATCTAACGAAAAAATAATGGATTTCATTTTCTCCTACCTAATATATAATAACTGATATACAAGGGCAAGGTGAAAAGTTCTCGGCCTGACAATGAAAGACTGTGATTTTTAGTTAAAAAGCGATTTTATTTTTCTACATAATCTCCCTTAACTTCAACACACTTGATCCAGCGTTTCTCTAACATCAGTACTCCTTCCCGGAAGTGAGATTCTGGAAGACTGTTAAAATATTCATCTACGGCCCTCTCAACTTCCTCATTGGATGCGAAGTGCTTTCCAGAAACAAATTTCTTCAGATTTGGGAAGAGATGGAAGTCCGAGGGTGCCAAATCAGGAGAATAGGGGGGATGGCCGAGCAAATCGTACCTCAAATCCCGCTGTTTTCCTATTGCCAACACACTTTTGTGTGCAGGTGCGTTGTCGTGGTGAAAGATGATTTTTTTCTTCTTCAAGCCAGGCCTCTTCTCGCGAATTTTGACATCGACCTGGTCAAGAAGGTTAGAGTAATATTCGTCTATAATTGTTCTGCCTTTTTCAAGGTAATCAATTAACAGGATCCCTTTGGCATCCCAAAACACACTGGCCATGACCTTTCCGGCAGATGCGATCGACTTCGCTTTCTTTTGCGCTGAACCACCGGCTTCCAANCCACCGGCTTCCACCCACTGCTTCGACTGCTGTTTGTTTTCTGGCGTGTAGTGGTGGACCCATGTCTCATCCATGGTGACAAATCGCCGCACAAAATCGGTCGGATCCCTCTTGTATCGATCCAAACATTCCTGTGAATGTCGTTTGCGCATTTGCTTTTGATCCGCATTCAGCAAATGCGGCACTCATCTTGCACAGAGCTTTCGCATACCTAATTCTTCGTTCAAAATGTTTCGCACCCTTTCTTCCGATATGCCCACGGCCTCAGCTATCTCACACATCTTTCCTCGCGTATCGTCCAACACGATATTGTGCACCTTTTCTATAGTTTCCAGTGTGGTTGCAGTTTTTGACCGTCCTTCACGTGGGTCATCTTCGAGCGACGTGCGATCTCGTTTAAATTCAGCTGCCCACTTTTTAACGGTTGAGATTGAAGGAGCAGAGTTCCCGTAAACTTTTGTCAACTTTGGTTGAATTTCCTTAGGGGTTAACCCATCCAAAACGAAGAATTTTATGACCG